GCAAAATTTGATCGTTAAAACATGTAAAAGTAGCTGGAACAAATGTATACATATGTCAAAGTTTACAGCGCGAAAGGCACAGTTTTCGGACGCCATCGTTTTCTGCTTTTGTCAGGTATCATCAGTGCGCCCTTGCAGACAGGGTTAAGGTACGACTTTGTCAAGTACTACTCGTTTGGTTTGACTAGGCTGTTATCATTTATTTACTACACCTATTTATTAAGGTTACATTGTTTCACCAAATATATGGGCTTGGAAATTAAGGTTTTCTACCTAGAAATTTTGATTTTAAGGAGGAGAGGAAAATGCAACAAAAGTCTCCCAATAAACGGCGTTGTCAAGAAATTACACAGTTTGATTCAAAAAAAAGTAGAGGTAGTCAACATTTTTTCTAACTTTAGCTTTTTTCTTTCAATTAATAGTAATAACTATATATATATAAATTCCTTAAACCGTATAAATAAATAGGTTTTGACATAATTTTAGCACATTTTTTCTTCTAAAAATTTATTATTCTGTTGCTTTGATTTATTTTTATTTGGTAAGGGCTGCGTCAGCTTGGCTATAAGATTTTTGCTACTACTTCAACTAACCGTAATTATGGTCTAGGAAACGACATTCCAAGCAGTTCTGAAGTGCAAGTGTTAGGTGAGGAAGAAGAATGCCAGTCTTCTCCGGTTTCCCCATCTCAGCAGGAGTCTCCAAGGGTATGGATTAGCTTAAAGGCTGCGTAGTGTATTCGTGCAATATTTTTAGTGGTGTTGATGGTGAGGAAAATTTAGCCACTGGACGTAAGTGAAGAAACTGCTTTCTCGGCAGCTGAAATGCAGTCGGTTCTCGTACCTCGTGTGCAGTCGTCTCCAGCTATACTGGGAACAAGTTCCTGCAGATGTTCTGGAACCCCTCAAGGGAACAGTGAAACTACAGTGGTATGCTCCTTATAAGATTTTTATGAGCCAGTAGGGAACTGGTATATATGAATGGCAACTGAAGTAGTACAGCGAATGAGGAAGAGGAATTTTTCAAATTTTTTGCAGCTTTGTTTCTTATAATTTTTCTGCTCTAATTATAACTGATTTAAGGGTTTCCAGTTGAAATTGAAGTCTTCACTTATATTGATATTTCAAATAAGATAAATTTAATGTAGTAGAGGAGTTGAGTTTGAGCAAAAAATTTATGCGGGAAGCTCACAAACACTGCCGCTGGCACTGGTTTTGCGATATCTGAAGTTGCTCACTGTGGGATGAACTGAACACCCTATCCCTAATTTTTGGCAGAATTCTGTATAGGAAGTTCATCTTTTTGGAGGTTCTAAATGTACTGGGCGCGATAATATCGTGAAGATTTGTGGGCAGTATGTAGACAGGAATGGTTTCTGAAGCCTTAGCGATTAATAATTATTAAGATTCCTGTGTCACTCACGTTACCCACTCTATGACAGTTCTCACTTTTCTGTTTAAAGATGAGCGGTATGTTATCAGTGCTTATTGTTAGCATCGACGGTTCGCCAAAAAGAATCTTTTTAGTGAACAAAATCACCGTGGTCTTTCGCGGCTAAATTTTCAGTGTTTATTTCTGACAGTCAGTACATTATTTCGTTTTCACTTCCAGTAGATTCATGTTTAGAATCTTCCCAAGCTGCATTTTTTGCAAATTTAGGGTAATTCAGAGTATACATATACTCTGAAAATACCTTAAGCTTATGTATTTTAGAACTTTTAAATTTGGCCAATCAGTAAGATTGGGCCTGGTTTAACTGCAAAAAGAAAAAAAAATTTTCGGGAATCTGTTTTCCGTTATGCTTCGTCGTAAGGTATAAAAAAAGGTTGCTAAGATTTAATGAACATACTCTTGCTCCACATTATCAGCATTCTGGTTATGCAAGGTAGTGTCAGGCTTAAGAGGTTTTCCACCCTCCCTAATAAATTCCTTCACACCCAAAACTTGTACATTTATAACGGTTCAGTCCGGTCTTCAAAAGCAGATTTTGCAGTCGACGGTAGTTTCGCCGCTGTTAAATGTTTGGAGTTAATGTAACACTAGTAGATTTTTTTCACTCTTATTACGCATCTCGTCGCATGGCACAGTTTCGTTAGAAGCTCATCACCAGAGTGTGATATTTTATAGAGCACAGAATTCTGCATATGGCGTTTTTGTTTTTTAAATTTAAAAAGCTCATTTTTTTCGGTGTTTGCTTCTAGTGTAACTTCCAACACTTTTAGTCAATTTTAAAACATAACACGTTTTAAAAAGTAAAATATGGAATTTGATAACCGAACTATTTTGATCTTGTCCGTAGTAGGCCAAATTATAAATCGAGGAAGATTGGCTTTTCAGAAGCCTAGCACACTTTGCACCGTGGGAGAGGCTGAATTTTGCTAGGAGCTCATTCTCTTATTTTTCGTTAACAATTTTCTGAACTTTAGCGCAGACTCAGCTGAGCGGCGAACTTTTAAAAAGTTTTGGTCTATGTGCTGAAAAAAGCTTGTGAACTGAAGTGGGATGAATAATATATGTATATTTTTTTAAGGCATGTGTATTTTTTTACTTTTATAAAAATATTTGTATTTATAACAGTGGTGGTTCAAGTTTAATTTTTTCTTTTTTTTTTTTTTTTTTTCAATTGCAGAAGTGGAAACCAGATTTGGAGAAATTCAGGGAAGGTATTGTACCATTCGAAGCTAGGGAGGATACCAATTTGCAGCGAGGCTTCTTTGAGAAACTAATGAAACTGATAAAAAAGAATTCTTTTGCAAAGTGATTTTTGAAACCAATGGCTGTTTGGAACTAGTTCTTCCTCCGGAAGGACACTTTCTTGATGGCTTGAATGTTCAGTGCTTAAGATTGGAAGATTGGTGGGTTTCTTCTGTCTACTTTATCATATTATTGTTCTTACAAAGCCGGTTTCAGTGACCATTTTCTAAAAGGATTCTTTGAGATTAAACATTTAGTTGTTCAGTTAGAGTTTTCTTGATTGGTTCCGTAATTGCTTTGTCTAACTCCTGGTTTGTGTATCTCATATTGTTTTCTTTGTAGAACTCTGTTTGACCTCGTGTATGGCTGCTTTTTTTTTTTTT